TGGTAAAAATACAGTGTCATTATTTTGTAAATTTTTAGTAGTCAAGTTGGGTTTCTAAATTTAAATTTAGGTCAGTTGTTAGTCTGTGTCAGTTTTGAAAACTAAGGCAGACCTCTGGGCCCAAGACCTAGAACTTTACAGTAGGGCTGACAAGTTCAAGAGCATGCTGGCTCAGGAACCCTCCCAGTTTTGGAAACTAAGGCAGACCTCTGGGCCCAAGATTTAGAACTTTACAGTAGGGCTGACAAGTTCAAGAGCATGCTGGCTCAGGAACCCTTCTTGTGAATTTTTGTGATGACTGTTTAAAATAATAAAAGCTAAAAACTATTAAATATGACAAACATTTTTGGTGACAAATTTTCCACTGGGTCATTACCTCAGCATGCATTTTTCTTATTTATTTTATGTTCAAATATTTTGTTTTCAATCCAACAACATTTAAGCAGGGCCAGCAACTTATTCAACTTGCATGCTTTGTAGGCCATCAACCTTTTGATATTAGTGGCAAACACTGGTCTCTTACCTGAAGGGCTACTACTGATTTTGATTTTGTTGTTCGAAATGACGACAGACTGCACTTGTACTCGCACTTGTCTCAAATTTCCCCCATTTTAGCTCAGTATTCAAAAAAAATTTTTAAATTTCTATGAAATGAGAAACAGAGAATTTGTTTTTGCTTGCCTTATTTATACTAATATTTATTTATTGTTTCACAACAGGTGTGCTAGATGATGAATGACATTGTAGCTATATGGGACGTGGCGTTGAGTGATGGCGTACATAAAGTAGAATTTGAACATGGCACCACGTCAGGAAAACGAGTTATACATGTAGATGGCAAGGTATTGTAATATCACATCAGTTCATGCCAAAGATTAAAAATAATTTTATTTATTTATTTGAATATTTGTTTATTTATTTGTTTATTTGAATTAGTTGAATTAAAGTGTGCTTGCCATCCTTTTATGCATAGCTGTACACACACATATCTCATTGCAAGGTCACTGTAGCATATTAAACTTGCTGCATTTTGATTACCACTCTACTCCTGTTGATTTCCCATGATGCAATGCAACCATATCAACTAACCACTTTACCACAGCACTTTCCTTCAGAAGATTGGGACAAAAATAGCAAAAAAATTTTGAGTGAAAACTGAAAATTGACTAAAATTTTGTCTGTTGGCTCAAAAAATAGGGTTCATTTCCAGAAATATTGAAGAATATAAGAAAAAAATGCAGAAAAATTTGGGCAAGAGAAGTCTGGTGGTGAAAAGGTTATTATACTGTGATTCTTGTTGTGTGCTGACTTCCCATGATGCAATGTAATATTGAAAGTCATCGGTTTGGTTTAATATACTGTGATTCATGTCGTTTGCTGACTTCCCATGATGCAATGTTGTTCACAGGAAATAATCAGGAAAAACTGGATGTTTAAGCTAGTGGGTCGTGAGATTTTTAACATTGGTAAAGCAAAAGTCAAGGCTGCGATTAACATTGATGCTGTCAGTGGATTTGCATACGAATACACATTAGAGGTCAAAGGTAAAAGTCTTAAAAAATTTACAGAACAAAGATCAAAGACGGCGAAGACGTGGTCATTACTATTAGACGGCATAGACACGAGGATTGTATTAGGTAATGAGATACTCAGATTTTATTTTTTTTTGTTTTTCTTTTGTTCTATAATTCGTACCATCTAGTAAAAAAACAACGCTTCTATGAAGGTCATTCGCAACAACTCCATGTGGGTAAAACATCCTTAGATCAGTTGATGTTACTTTGATTTTTTTCCTTCTTATTTTCATAATTACAAATCCATTAAATTACCAATATACTTTATTACATTGTAGTATTTTAAAACATGTGTTTTTTTTACTTCTAGAAAAAGACACAATGGATGTATGGTGTAATGGTGAAACACTACAGACAGCTGTAAGTATACCTAGTCTTTTTATGACACCAGTAAATATAACTGTAGTGTAATTCACATACACTACAAACTGTAATTCTCATACACTACAGACAGCTGTAAGTATACCTAGTGTTTTTATGACACCAGTAAATACAACTGTGGTGTAATTTATGTACACTACAAACAGCTGTAAGTATACCTAGTGTTTTTATGACACCAGTAAATACAACTGTGGTGTAATTTATGTACACTACAAATAGCTGTAAGTATACCTAGTGTTTTTATGACACCAGTAAATACAACTGTAGTGTAATTTACATACACTACAAACTGTAATTCACATACACTACAAACAGCTGTAAGTATACCTAGTGTTTTTATGACACCAGTAAATACAACTGTGGTGCAATTTATGTACACTACAAACAGCTGTAAGTATACCTCGTGTTTTTATGACACCAGTAAATTTAACTGTAGTGTAATTTACATACACTACAAACTGTAATTCACATACACTACAAAAAGCAGTAAATATACCTAGTGTTTTTATGACACCAGTAAATACAACTGTGGTGTAATTTATGTACACTACAAATAGCTGTAAGTATACCTAGTGTTTTTATGACACCAGTAAATACAACTGTAGTGTAATTTACATACACTACAAACTGTAATTCACATACACTACAGACAGCTGTAAGTATACCTCATGTTTTTATGATGCCAGTAAATATAACTGTGGTGTAATTTATGTACACTACAAACAGCTGTAAGTATACCTAGTGTTTTTATGACACCAGTAAATATAACTGTAGTGCAATTTATGTACACTACAAACAGCTGTAAGTATACCTAGTGTTTTTATGACACCAGTAAATATAACGGTAGTGTAATTCGCATACACTACAAACTGTAATTCACATACACTACAAACAGCTGTAAGTATAAGTGTTTTTATGACACCAGTAAATCAACTGTGGTGTAATTTATGTACACTACAAACAGCTGTAAGTATACCTAGTGTTTTTATGACACCAGTAAATATAACTGTAGTGTAATTCACATACACTACAAACTGTAATTCACATACACTACAAATAGCTGTAAGTATACCTAGTGTTTTTATGACACCAGTAAATACAACTGTGGTGTAATTTATGTACACTACAAATAGCTGTAAGTATACCTAGTGTTTTTATGACACCAGTAAATATAACTGTAGTATAATTCACATACACTACAAACTGTAATTCTCATACACTACAGACAGCTGTAAGTATACCTATTGTTTTTATGACACCAGTACTTACAACTGTGGTGTAATTTATGTACACTACAAATAGCTGTAAGTATACCTAGTGTTTTTATGACACCAGTAAATACAACTGTAGTGTAATTTACATACACTACAAACTGTAATTCACATACACTACAAACAGCTGTAAGTATACCTAGTGTTTTTATGACACCAGTAAATACAACTGTGGTGCAATTTATGTACACTACAAACAGCTGTAAGTATACTACGTGTTTTTATGACACCAGTAAATTTAACTGTAGTGTAATTTACATACACTACAAACTGTAATTCACATACACTACAAACAGCTGTAAGTATACCTAGTGTTTTTATGACACCAGTAAATACAACTGTGGTGTAATGTGTATGTACACTACAAATAGCTGTAAGTATACCTAGTGATTTTATGACACCAGTAAATACAACTGTGGTGTAATTTATGTACACTACAGACAGCTGTAAGTATACCTCGTGTTTTTATGACGCCAGTAAATATAACTGTGGTGTAATTTATGTACACTACAAACAGCTGTAAGTATACCTAGTGTTTTTATGACACAAGTAAATATAACTGTAGTGTAATTTATGTACACTACAGACAGCTGTAAGTATACCTAGTGTTTTTATGACACCAGTAAATATAACTGTAGTGTAATTTACATACACTACAAACTGTAATTCACATACACTACAAACAGCTGTAAGTATACCTAGTGTTTTTATGACACCAGTAAATACAACTGTGGTGTAATTTATGTACACTACAAATAGCTGTAAGTATACCTAGTGTTTTTATCACACCAGTAAATACAACTGTAGTGTAATTTACATACACTACAAACTGTAATTCACATACACTACAGACAGCTGTAAGTATACCTCGTGTTTTTATGATGCCAGTAAATATAACTGTAGTGTAATTCACATACACTACAAT